AGAGAGAGAGAGAGAGAGAGAGAGAGAGAGAGAGAGAGAGAGAGAGAGAGAGAGAGAGAGAGAGAGAGAGAGAGCATGGAGTTATCTCAAGAATCAAGATGTATAAACAATTAATACAATCTTCAAACTGCTTCTCTCTCTTCTTCCACAGGAATCCTTCTACCAGCTCAATGCACCCAATGGCTTGTATCTCTCGACTCCCTTGCCACCAGTGTGGACAGAGATCTCACTTGCCAAGTCAACCTCTCGACAGTGCTGGCTATTCTGCGGCAGCATGGACTTCTATTTTCTTCCCCCAAATCCCGACTATATTGCCTCCTTGAAGCTATGGTGACCTTTTCTCTCATCCCCTGACCTCACTAGAAGAAGTGCCACACCCTCTGTATTGCACAAGCACCAACAGGATGAAGTGCTGGATGATGAATGCTGGTTTCCCTCCTCTTGGAGTCTTCTTCCTCTGTTAGCTATGGCAGCCAGTAAACAGGTAAGCTTCCTACACCCGTCTTGCCAACCCCTTTGCAATGGTTATCTCCTCCTTCCTGTCTCCACCCCTGACCCTCCTCTTCATGGTGTCAGGCAAGCTCTAGTCCATAACACCAGCTCTCAGTCTTGGATGAAGAATGTGGGGCAGATGCAATGACTGGTCTTCTCTGCAGCAACTATGGCTGAACACTTGAGTTGGCACTCTCTCCAGGTAAGCTTCCTCTTTCCCCCAACCCTCGGACTCTACCTCAGATCTCCCCTCTTCACTCTCTTGCAGCTATGGTGCATCAGCACCTTCTCCAGGCTATGGCCATATGGCAGCCTCTCACTCACTCTGTCTGCCTTCTCGCACACTTGTTCAAGCGCGTCACTGTAGCCACGCACTGTAGCTCATGCACTGTAGCCGTGCACTGTAGCACGTGCACTGTAGCAGCGCAAGGAAAAATGAATCCATGAGCCGGGGCAGACCACTCTTTATACTGTTTGATCGGCCTGGCCTGCCTCCAGTTTGCCTCCTCGAAGGGCTGAGATTTCCCGATCTGTGAGGCCCAGATTTGCTCGCGGCCAGTGTGTGCCAGGACCGAGTGGGCCTCGGAAACTTCTGGAAACTGCACTGAGCCTTTGGATTTATGTGAGATCTGTGGCTGTGGTTGAATCCTCGAAGATCTTTGACGATTTGATTTCTGTGCCCGGGTGGGGCTTGACTGTTGACCAAGCACAGTGTATACATTAGATCAATAGGCTAACTTAGGCAGGGGTGATGGGAGGTACATCCTGCCGTTCAGAAGCAATCAATTCCGCCCTTCGGGTCTCCCAACCGGAATGGGGAGAAGCGTACAAGTGTCCTATTGATGTAAATATTTGACTTGCCAGCAGGGTTGCATACCCAGACTGTCGGC